AAAACTGTAATATGACCTATGGCAATGTTTTTTAAATGTTGCCAAAGACCTCTTTCGCAACGTTTAAAAACGTTGCCAAAAACCTTTTCGCAACGTTTAGAAAACGTTGCCAAAGACCTAGCCGTAGGCTGTTTTTGTTGTAGTGTTGGCGAGTAAAAAGGAAACTTACCAAATCTTGGGGTCAAAGTTATAAATACGAGGTATTACATTGAGCAATTTGGTATACGGACCCAAAAAAAACACGTGAGAGAGATATTTCCATAGGATTATAGTATTTTTGTGTGTACAATAGAGAGAGAGATAGAAAAAGGAGAAACATACACATGTTGTTCATCTTAAGTCAAGCGTCTTAGTTTTGTATAAATAAAAGGTTGAACCCCAACCTTGAGGGCCCCCCACCACCCCGTCTCTAGAGTATTGTGAAAGAGGTAAATCGCGGGATGTGCCTCAGCAAGTCAGGGTACAAAAGCTACCATACAGGTGCACACAAAGAGTCAAATTTCATATCTTATAAGAGATAGGAATAGAACCCTTATGTTGCGGCTGCTAACTCAGTTGAGACTACCTCACTCATGTCCTTTGCACCACTAAGCCATGCCCCGGAGGGCTAGTTTTGTATAAATAGATGTTATGAAGGTAGGGAAAACATTTTTCAACTAATAAATTCATATTTTTTTCTTCTTTGCTCGTTTTGAATTTTTTTCATTTTTCTTTTGCATTCGGTGGGGATTTTTGTCGAACTTTGTTAAATTCATGGTTTTTTCATTCTTACTCGTTTCATATTTTCCCTTTTCGATGTGCATTTGGTTGGATTTTTTTCTCACCATTGATAATAGTCACTGTTTACATATAATAGATCAACTTTTTATTTTTACTTTTTATTAACCTATTTAAAGAGGAAGGATGAATTGCATTAATAAATGGGAATTTTGTATCTAAAATTTTCATTGATGTTATATCACCTAGGAGAATGGTTCTCTTAAATGTTCTTGAAGAGCGAAGCCACTTGTGGGCTTTTGCTAGGAAAAATGTTAGGGAGCGAGGTATCTTAACTTCATTGGCTGTTGGAAAAAAAAGATTTAAATAGATCAATACAGTGTTGAATGTGGTAAACTAGCAAAAATAATGTATAGTGTCATGTACATGTAGCAAGATTCTTCTTGAATATTGTGGTTGTCGACGATCATTGGTTGTAGAAGGGACTCACGTTCCAGAGAGTTTAGGTAGGGATTTTTTTCGGCTACTGTGGTGATGGAGTCGGATTTGAAAAATTGGAATGACAAATCTAACACAGTATATTACTTTGACAAATTGTGTAACAAAGTGACAATGTAACACTTAACATAAAATAACACGAAAATATGACATGTAACATAAAGTGTGACATAAAAATGTGTTTTTCCAAATATTATTTGTAACAATAAATCTTACATTTGTTGTAATGAAAACGAACACAACACTTTTAAATTTTTTATTTTAAAGTAGGTACTTATGAAAAGATCATTAATGAATGTCGAGATAAAAGTATCAAACATCACCCTTAATTTTTCTATGGTTGATCATCTAATGGTATTAAACATCACTTGTAAATTAGCTTTCACTCATCATCTAATGTGACACAACTCTCCGACAAGAAAAGTTTTGATATGACTTTCCAATGTGCGTATGTGATATGTCTACCTAGATACAAATACATTCATAATCATGTGTATCATAATTAATTTTTACTATATTTCTCATTGTTACATTTTTCAAACTGCTGCTCACATATGTTCTTTTTCAACTCCCTGTTGGAAATTTCTACTTACCCACTTGTTTGAGGATGATAAGGATTCGAGACACGATGCTTTACTTAGCCAATAATGTTGAAAATTGATGATTACAAAAGTGCTTCCCGGTATCTCTAATAATAGTCTACGGATTGTCATGAGAAGATGTTCTTTCTTATAAACCGAATAACAACCCATTCATCATTAGTTGGTAAAGCTACAGCCTCAATCCATTTGGACACATAATCTACTGCCACCAAGATGTACTGCTAACCATGTGAAGAAGGAAACCGTCCCATGAAGTCAGTGCCCTAAACATCGAATATTTCCACTTGTAAAATGATGTTTAAAGGTATTTCGTTCTTCCTTGAGATATTTCCTATTCTCCGGCATTTGTCACATTTCTTTATCAAAGCATATGCATCCTTAAACAACGTAGGCTAATAAAAATCTAATTATAGAACTTTTGTTGTTGTTTTGGTTGATGCAAAGTGACCCCATGTTGGGAAGAGGGACAATTCTCCAACATATGATTATGATCTTCTTTCGACACACAATGGCAAATGATTTGATCCGGACCAGTCTACAGAAAAAGGAACATCCTAAAAGTAGTGCTTGAGGTCACTTAAAGTTTTTCTTCTCATGATTTGAGTACTCCGAGGAATGACAAATCTGAAGAAGTAATTCGCATAATTTAAATACCATGGTGATATCCCGATACGTGGAAGGGTCTCATATGATAATAACTCATTGATCTCATCTATAGGATTCAATTCTTTTGATTCTAGGTGAGAGAAGTGATCTACCTACATACTCGCTTTCCGTTTTATCTCAGATCTCCAAATCATATTCCTACAATAAAAGTATCCATTGGATAAGTCTCAACTTTGCATCCTTCTTGCTCAACAAGTACTTCAACGTTCATGATCTTTGTACACAATCACGTTTGATTAAATAAAGTATGATTACCAAAAGCTCTTTCTCCGTAGTAGTATAGTTCAACTGAGCCTCAACAAGATTCTTGCTATAGTGAATCATGTGTGCAACCTTGTCCTTGTATTGACCCAAAGCTGCCTCAACTGCGCAATCATTAGTATCACACATCAGCTCAAATGGCAATCTCAAGCAAGCGTGACCAATACTGGAGCTAAAACAACTTTTTTTCAGGATGTTGAAAGCAATTAAACATTCTTCAAAAATGTAAAAATGAGTATCTTCTTTCTAACAATTTGTATAGGGGCTTCGTGATTTCGGAAAAATCCTTGATGGAGTGAAGATAAAACTTAACATGTCCGAAGAAGCTTCTAATCCCCTTCACTGAAATTGGTGGAGATTTCTTTTCAATCACCTATATCTTCACCCTATAAACCTTAATTCATCTAGCTGATAGCAAATGTCCCAAAACAATTCATTCTTAAACCAAAAAGTGACATTTCTCCAAATGAAGCACGAGGTTGGTATCACCACATTAATGCTACAACACCAACCCCAAGTGATCTAGGAGTTTCTTAAATGATGTTCCAAAGACTAAAATCATCCATAAAGACCTCAATGTAATACTCCAACATGTTAGAAAACAAACACATCATACAACGCTGAAAAGTGGTTGAGGCGTTTTATAAACCAAAGGGTATCTGTCTCTATGCAAAGGTATCATAGGGACATTTGAAGGTTGTGTTCTATTGATTGTCTGGTGCAATGGAAATTTGATTATAACATGAATAATAATCCAAAAAATAAAAATGTGAATGCCCAGTGAGCCTCTCCAACATCTTTTCAATAAAAAGAAGGAGAAAATGATCATTCCTAGTGGCGGCATTGAGTTTACGATAGTCAATGCAAACTTTCCAACTTGTAAATGTGCGTGTTAGAATGAACTCGTTATTTTCATTTGGAACCACATTGATTCCTCCTTTCTTTGGCACCACCTTTACTGAACTAACCCAATGACCATTTGAGACCATAATGATAGACTACCATCGCTGGATTGGATTACGAGGTCGAAAATTGCAATTGGGGTTGCAGAGGGTTTAGTATTTCTACATGATGAATGTGCTCCACCTCTTGTTCACGAGTACCCCATTACTCGATTCTCCTTAAATCTCGAATGATCCTATTTAATTAATACCTTAGTTTTGTTCTGATTTTTCCATTCGCAGTAGGCTTAAAACTCTAACAACAAACTAAGACCACATAAATTTTTCTCTCACTTCGTCCGCTTAACTTTTAGATCCTTGTAGTAAGAACAGTTTCTCTGTATTCTTAGA